TTGTGATCTAAACAATGTTTCTACTGTAGTGTCTTATTTTAAATTGCAGTGTATGCGTGTGATTATCTATGCTTAGTTTAAAATGTGACCTTGTGAAGGAAGCTAAGTATCTTTTTTTGACAAAAGAAATGTAGTAATATTGGTTTACAAGTCTCTATCTTCTCCGTTGTCAGCATCAGATGCGTCATATTCATCCTCACTGAGTAAATATAGTTCGATATTTTCTTCGGCATAATCGTCGGCTAGTCTCTTCAGACAAAGAACGAATATCGCTGAGACGAAATTGAGTATTGTTTGCCCGGACATAAGCCTTCAATGAAGCCCATGCCAGTTCGATGGGATTTCAAACGCAATGCTTGATTGGAAGACGAACGAGCTCGACGTTGAATAAGCTGGCAACGGCGTTAGTCTTGTAACGCTTCGGTGGAATGTGGGAAAATGCGATTTGCAATAACTCACCTTTCTTCAGCGTTGTATCGTATTTCAGTTCATGTTCTTTCCGCCATTGTTGAAGCTGATCATTACGCCATGAACGCTTTGGCGGTTTCGCTTCGTCGATGAGTTCGTTATGCCACGTAGCGTTGTCAATGGCGATGGCAATACGAACGGAAGGGCCATGAAGTAAACGAAGATGAGACGCGAATTTTTCAATCCAATGAATGAAATGAGTCGAGTTCATAGAATGGTCTTCATCACAGGCAAATATATCGACAGATTCCTTGTGAAAGTCATTCTCGTTGATCATAGCTGAGATAGTCAATCGTTTTCCTTCTCCATCGGACTTCTTCAAGCGTCCTTCATCTTTGTCGTTAATCCATCTCGAACGTTTTTCTTCACCTATATTGCACCAAGTCTCATCATGATAATAAATAAAGACTCCGTTGGCTCGTAAGTCATCAAGACGACGAAAATAGGAAGCGCGTTGAGCAACATAAGAGATGGAGTCGAGTGGCATGACCACCTTGCTCGTCGTAAATATGATTGAGAACCTTCGCCACTGTAGGATATATTTTCTCTGCCTAGAAGCAGTGAAATTGATTGTTGATAATAAATAGAAGTTTGGCTGGTCACCAGAAGAAGATGAAAATGATACTGGATCGTATCTTCGGCTAGTTCGCTCAAGTGCATCACTGGCCGACCAGAACGTACAGGTTGCTGTTTTTCTTGTTCATTCAGCTCCTTTTGCCGTTGATCAACAATTTCTTTCTTCAATCTGAATAATGAACTTTCGCTGATGCTCAGAATGGCAAGCAGACGACTAGTGGTATTGTGAAGCGGGATGGATATACCTGCTTTCTCTCTCTCCACGAACACGATCACACGAAACATCATCTGTTTCTCTTTGATTGAATAGTCTTCTCCCTTTGGCATAATTAACGGTTAACTATTTGGTGAACAGAATATTTGTCCTTATAACGTGAACATATAAAGAAGAAAGAGATATGCTATGCACCAATCAGTCGGATATTTAATTGTACACGAACGAATGAATGTAACGGTCTGATTTTACTTCTCACGTACTGAACATATGATTTAGATCACAG